ACTCCACCTAGGTGATGAACCAGAAAACGTAAACAACACTCTACACTCTAGACAAATTAATTTCAATTTATTCCAAAATAAATTAGACGAATACATTTCATTAAATATCCAACTAAAAATTCACGATGACATAGACAGTGCTTCACAATTCCTCATTACAACTATCCAAGAAGCAATAACAGACTCAACCTCTTCACAATCAATTACGAATATACCAATAAAACCGCACCAATATACTTGTTTAACACAGAATTTAAAAGAATTAATTAAAAAAAAATGCCAAGCTAGAAAAATCTGGCACCAAACCCACTACCCGGAGCACAAACATGAATTAAACAAATTAACAAATAAACTGAAAAAAGATCTGCAAACCTTTAAGGCCAATCAATTCCACTCATTTTTATCATCACTTACACCAGTCAATGGTTCCTTATGGAAATCAATAAAAAATAAAACCAAAAGAAAAGACGTAGTCCCCCCCCCCCTCTTAACAAATCCTAACAACACTTTAGCCATAGCCGACAGCGAAAAAGCAAATTTATTCGGCAATCACCTATCAGAAATTTTCCAACAACACACATAGAAAATGTCCAAACTTTTCTTAACAGTCCACTACCTATGTCACTACCACAATCATACCACAAGAAATAAAATATTATATCACTAAGCTACACACCAACAAAACCCCAGGATATGAGCTAATTAACAACAAAATACTCAAAAAACTAACAAATAAAACCATCCTTCTTTTGACTCACATATACAACACAATGCTCAGGTTATCATACATTCCCCCAATATGGAAATTCTCAACAATAATATTAATTGCTAAGCCAGAAAAACCAAAGCATTTGGTAACCTCATACAGCCCGATAAGTTTACTACCAACGTTAGGGAAACTTTTCGAAAAATTACTTCTTACAAGAATAACCCCTATTATCAAAGGAAAAACATCATCCCAAATACTCAATTTGAATTCCGATCATATCATTCGACAATCCACCAAATACATAGAACTACCGACAAAATATCATCATCATTCGAAAAAAAAGAACACTGCCCCGGTGTATTCCTTGATATCGCGCAAGCATTTGATAGCATCTGGCATGACGGATTATTGTTCAAATTAAAATCGTTTCTACCTGCTCCGTATTTCCTCATCCTAAAATCTTATCTAGAAGACCGATATTTCACTGTTAAATTTAACAATTCCTACTCTGTCTACCATAAAATCAAAGCGGGAGTACCCCAGGGAAGTGACCTATCACCTATACTCTACAATATCTACACATCAGATATGCCCATAACAAACCATACAACTCTAGCGACATATGCAGACGATACCGCTATACTAGCATCAAATAAAGACCCAAATATAGCCACCCACGATATACAATACCACTTAAATCTAATCTCCAATTGGACCCAAAAATGGAAAATCAAAATAAACGAAAACAAATTAGTTCAAATAAATTTTTCTTTAAAAAAAAAACGAATGTCCACAACTTTTGCTCAATAATTCACCAATTACTATCCAAAATGTAACCAAATACCTCGGAGTTCATCTAGATAAAAGACTTACCTGGGCCCAACACACAAAACAATCAAACACACGTCTATATCTCCTCCGTCCATTATTGTCTCCTTCAATGAATTTAAAAAACAAAATATTAATATATGTACAAGACGATTAATACCCCCCTCTGGTCATATGGTATCTAAATCTGGGGCCAAACCAAACCATCCAATATAAGACCCATACAAGCTTTCCAGTCTATATGTCTTAGACATATGGTATATGACCAACGACGCATTACATAAAGATCTCCAAATTCCAACAGTCAGCAAAATAGCAACTCGTCATTACAAAAAGTTTCACTCCAAACTGCACTCGAACCAAAACCCTCTAATTTCCCGCATGTCCTCTATAACCATCCCCAACAATCCTATATATGAACCCATCAAATTAAATAGGAGGTACCTGTTGATGGATGGTTTTTCCCCCCTCAAGACATTCAAGTCATTTTACTATTACCTATGTTATCAAATTTACTTATTGTACAAATGTATAGATTGTAAATATGCTTATATGCTTATAAAAAATGTTAAGTATGAAGGAAATCATAAAAATAATATTTTATTGAAATACTTACATTTGATAAGTCTTTTTTCATTGATTTGTACTTATGTCTGTACTTTTCTTTATCATGTGTTATTTCTTCTAATTTTAAACAACTTAATTCATTAAATAATGTATTTGAAGACATAGCATTGGTCTCTTGGCCGCTTATATTTGTTGGATTATTTGTAATTGATTTATTACATAGTTCATCTTTTAACGACTGAAATGAAAACAGTCATACCTTTTATTAAACATAATATTTTATGAATATAATATAGTGTTTGAAATTTATAATTTGAGAATACTGCAGAGCAAAACTATTTGAAGTTTTTTAAATTATATTTTTTTTAGTCAACCATCAGTAGATAAAAAAAATTAAAAATATCAATGATATTAAACATATGATGAATATAGAATTCTTAAGTTCACTAAGCATTTACTTTTAGGATAACATAATGGAGATGGTCCACTACTATGAAGTTGCTTAGCGATAAAGAAACTAACATGATATTAGTTGTGTTCGCTATAAACTTAATGTCACATCTATAAGTTTATCTATGTAAAAACCATGCAAAATCATGGCATCAAGTTTTTTTTTTAAACTTACAATTATTTCAATGTCTTTCTTTTGTATGGTTTCTTCAAATAATTTTAAGTTTGATTTTAACATCATATTTTCGTTTTCAATATTGTCAAACATTAAAATAAGATTATTATAATCTAAAGTTTTCTTTTCAAACTATATATAAAAAAAAAAAATTAATAAATTAGTTATAAATTTACAAAGTTAATTATTTAAGGCTCTGTCAAACAGAAAGCGTTATTTTCACGTTGCATGATTTTGTAATTTGTTATAAAGCTGCGTTATTCACGTGTGTGAAAGTCGCACGCCGACAAGCCATTTACCGCTTTAACGAGTTCTGTTTGACAGAGCCAAGACTGATTGAGACAAGTCTGATTGTTATTTTGGTGAGGGGAATTTCTTTTATCTAAAAAACGTGAATAAATACGTACTACAAGGTGATGAAACACTTATTATTTCAAAAAGTATGTTTTTGAAAATATTTTTTTTCATTAAATAATAAGGATAAACATATTTTAAAATACAATTTTTTAATAAATATTATATATAAATATTTTCAAAAACATTAATACTTTTTGAAATAATGAGTGTTTCATGATAAAAGAATCACTGTGTATGGTATAAGGGTATAAGTACTTATACTATATATTAGGCATAATACAAGCTATAACCTAATAAAAAATGTCAATATAAAATGATTGCAGGATTTTTGTTTACATGCAAATTGTATACAGGTCTAACATGTTTTAACTTAAAAGCCACCACTGACAGCCCAGACTTAATTTATAATAAATCATAATTTACATACTTTTCCATTAAGGTCCTTATGTTTTTTATCAAGTTCTGTTACTTGTTGCTTTAATTCATTGCAATTCATTTCCAAATCTATTTTGTCTCTGTTTAATTTTTTTATAATTAAATCACTGTCTACTTTTAAACATTCGGGAGACTGGTTTGGTTTGGAATATTCTTTGATTTCATCTTTCAATATTTGTAATATTTTATCTTTGTCTTCTAATTTATTACCTGAATTAAAAATGTTAAGTAAAAACCAGTAATTTTTAAAAAGTAAAAACAATTTCCTTTTAGATTCTGAGCGGAGCGATGAATGTATTGGTTTTACAATGATGTATGTTTTTATATTTTTATTTATATTTTTGTGTCTGTCATCACGTTTTAGGACAGTAAAAGTGCTTGGATTTTCTTCATCAGTAGCTTTTCTGATAGGAAAGTGAATCTAGTTGGTACTTTGGGGGGTCAAAAGTATAAATTTCCCAGTAGTTTTCACAAGCGCCGGGAAAAACAACATAAAAATTAAGGAAAAACGAGAATTTTTACGCAAAATTGGTTTTCCAAAAAATCGATTTTGGTTATTGGTGTAACTCTAAAACAAATGAACGTATATACATGAAATTTTCACTGGTTGTTTATATTTGCATTTTCTATACACGATAACATTTTCAAAATATTTTGATTTATGTTGAACTGTTTAGGGACATTTTCATTTTCCATTTTTTTTTAGTTTTTTTTCTAAAAATATCAATAAAATTGTATTTATTGGTTGCGAAAGCTTGAAAATTTAATAGAAGGCTCCTAATATGTTGTTTCAAAGGCAGATGAAAAATATTAAAAATCCTTAGTCACAATTTTTTTTTATAAGCATTTAAAGTTCAAAAATTGACAAAACATGGAAAAATCACGAAAATTAGCAAATTATTTTGAGTTAAGAATTCGTAAAAATTTTTCTTTTTAAATCTAAGATTTGAAAATGAAACACAAGATTCCTTATAAGATTATCTACCTTTATCAATAAAAAATCTCTACCGGACAGTCAAATTAAATTTTTATGAGCGTTTGAAATTCAAATTTTTACAACATTGGATTTTCACTCGATTTCTCATGTAGCGATTTCCTTATTTTGTTGTAATTCAAAAACGAATAACTGTAGATACATGACAATTTCACTGAATATTTATATTAGCATTTCCTACACACCATACAATTTTGAAAATATTTTGACTCTTTTTGAGCTGTTTATGGACATTTACAGCTTTCAATTTTTTTTAGTTTTTTTTTCTATAAATATCAATAAAGTTTTATCTGTTGGGCCAAAAAGTATAAAAATTTAATACAAGGCTCCTGATATATTGTTACAATATCAGTTGAAAAATATTAAAAATACATAGGCACGATTTTTTTTTATAAGCATTTAAAGTTGGAATTTTGACAAAATTTATCAAAATCTCGAAAATTATCAATCGTTGGAATTAAAAAATTATAAAATGTTCAGTTTTTATAACTAAGAGTTGAAAATTTAAAACAAAGATTCTCTTAAATAATTCATACTGTAACCAAAAAATCTAAAAAATATATAAACACACTTATTTTTTACAGACATTTTAATTTCAAATTTAGACAAAATTTCATATTTAAACCAAGAATTACGATTTTAGTTATTTTGTTGTGATTGAATAATACTATTCGTGGGTACTTGAAACTTCTAAAGTGTACTATTATATATCTATGATAGTATCACGGTTTTTGTTGATGTATAACGCGTTATAAGTATCTAATGGATATTGTGATATGATTAATTTGGAATTTATTATAGGTACCTATTATAGGTCAATTTTTTGTTTAATACCATAGATATGTATATAATATGCCTTATACATAGACTGACATACCATCACCGCTCAGAATCGTTTTTCTTATACAATGATATTATATCATTGAATTCAAATTTAATACCATCCATTATACAGTGACCCACTTGTAACCTACTGTACAGCAGAGCGACACCCACTTGCCCACCTTTTTTATTTTATACATTATGGAAAAAATATAATAAAATGCATACTAATAAAAAATAGTTTTAAAATTTGAATTAACCATCTATTAATCTATTAAATTACAATGAAACAATATAATTTATTAGTATTTTACTTATAGCAAATGTATATTTTCAGATAACTGAATATAAATCTTAAAATGTATTTATATTTGATTTTTATAGTATAATTATTTACTTAGTTTTGTATTTAGATCTTTGAAGTATTTAACATTTTCAGCCAACTTGTAGTTTTCTTCACATTCATTTTTATAGTCTTCAGTAAGTTTGATAATAAGTTTTTCTTTTTCTTGATTTATTAAGGATTGAGATTTTGGTGACTAAAATAAAGGTTGTCAAATTATTATATATAATTATTAATAGTAAATTATAAAATATATTAAATACAAATAAAACCATTTATTGTTTATTATTGTAAGTTTCAATAACACTAAGTACTATAAACCACCAACCAGTATTTTGTATGATTTATGAACTGGGAAGGGGGACGGAGTGGCTGAATGGTCTAAGGTCTAATGGTCAATCGATGCCGGCTCGATTTCCAGCCGCGAGCGCCATTATCAGGGTGTCCGGAGAAAAAGTGCCGCCATTCACCCCAATCGGGCAGGACAGATACCTACGGGTGCCTACTAAAAAATCTGAAGAAACACTCAAGTGTTCCATCGCCCTACAGTTCCACAGGCTAATAACCTCAGTAGTTGAAGCCTCAACCAACCTCCAAAAAAAACTGGGAAGACAAAATATAGAGTGCTATAATCCAAATACACTGGAGGACCAAATGATCTTAATAATTTTTGGGGACAGAACATCAGTAAACTCAATTTATTTATAATATATATAATGGTATGGGAATACTTTAGGAAATGGTAATTAGTTTAGTTAGTAATACCTGACAAAATTCTTGTAAATAGCTTCGGCGCATTGATTTTGACTTGATTGGTGTGTCGTTATTTGAACATATTTCTATACAATATACATACAAATGTATAAAATACAATTATTTATTTCAACAAGTGTAATGTTAAATTTAAAAATGAAAATAAAATTCTTTAGATTTACCTGAAACATTAATACAAGTATGCTTAGAATCACTTATCAACAGTAGAGCTTCAGAAATATTTTGTTTGGTGAATAATAATGATTGTGTAGCTTCTAAGAAATTTGCTAGTAACACTTGCTCTTCATTATTCATTCTTTCACTTAACTGATTTCTGAATTTGTCATTAGTACATTTTAATAGTGCATGTAGCAAAACAATAACACATGCATAAATTGCATTGTCTTCATTATATAAGTCTTCATACTTTAGAACTTCAAACTCACAATAGTTCACTGTTTAAATTTTTTTTAAAAATATTTATTAAAAAAAAGTATGAAAAAGTGCATTTTAAAATTAAATAATACCTTTTATAGTGTTGTAAACTCTTGTATCGTCTGTGCTCAAAGCTGAAGAACATTTCAAACAAAATCTATTAAATTAAAAAAAATCAAAATATATTTAATATTTTACAATGATAGGTTTTATTTGTAATACAATAATGTTAAGTTCCATAAAAAAAATGATTAATTCAATGGTTCACTAAAATTTAATTCACCAATCATGGGCTACTAAATCATGTTGAAGAGACAATTATTGATTGGCTTAGGTACTATTGATTTATTAATGTTTAGTGATTTTTTATGCTATCCAGCATATGTATGCTAAATACAATATAAATTAATATTGTAGTAAGGTTAACAAAAAACATTTATTAATATGTTGGCAATCTATGTCTTATGTATACTCATTGAGTATATATTACTACATACACTCAATAGTATAATTAATATAGGTAATAAATGAAACACAATACTTACACATCATCAGCAAATTGTTTAAACGATGTACTTGATATAAGATGTTTTGTATTTGAACATTCGATGTTTTTAAATTCATCAAATAAACACATCTGAAAATTATTGTATATAATATTACATTATAATTAATAAAGGTACATAGTAGTATAATATAAGTATGTTATAATTGTTAACAAGTGAACACAAGTAGGTAATATCTATAAAACTAAACACAATTTATTTTCATTTCATTAGTTTAACATATTGTAATATATATATATAACATATTGTACCTATATAATATCAGCAACACAAATCAAAAATTTAAACGATTTATTAATGGCATTTTAAGAGGTTGAACTTATAAATGAAATAAACTATTTTGTGTATACCCACTGTTTTTAGTAGCCAAAAATATTAGGTATGAATTTTTAATAAGTACTTAGTACCTACACCAGTAGATAGTATAATATAATAATTTATTATTATACCTCTATACCAATATTGTGGTAAAGTTGGGCAGGTATTAATATTAAAATTTGAGTATAACAATTATAACTACTTGACGCAAAAAAATAAATCATGGGCCTAATCAGAACAAATATCAGTAAGGTAACAAAAAACATATTTATAATGTTATTGCGTCTAGCTACGCGAGAATGAGAACCTATTGTTCCGAGACAAACAGTATATTAATATGAATCCTGTCTTAATTCAAACGGTTAAAATTTGATTTACGGAGAAATAAAAACAATCACATTCGACTTACCCAACGAAGAATAATGGATTCAAAATTTTCCATTTTGGTTTAAATTATCAGGTACGTGAATAAAGAGCACGTAATTTACTGGTCATCTGTATTCTGCATTAACTATTATTTGAGAGTTTCAGATAGTTTAATAATTCGGCTTTTCGTTTTCGGTTTCGGTATGACTGGTATGAGTATAATATTATATTATTACAGCACAGAATAGGTAGTATGAGTCTATAACAGAATGACCGTTAAATATACATTGAACTTGTCTGCCACTTTGACGACTGACAATTACGACGAACAACTTACTGTATAATGTACATAGATAACAATAAGAGTATAATACTACCATATACTACGACAGTTGAACGACACTACGACTACAAGTCTACAACACTACAACACTATACAACAGTCAACAGTCTAGAAACGGTCTACAATTAACGGTCTACGGACTAGACGTGACTACGACACTCGGTCTGTTGTTATCAGTAAAATTGTCCGTTATTTAGGAATTTAGAAAATGTAAACAACAACAAAACTGTATTCCAAAGACGACACATAAGCATACCTGTGGATACTCTTTGGAATAAACTCAATAGAGGGGGCTTGGTGCGGCGCTGTGTCTGCCACCCTGGCGGCCCACGGCCTGGCTTCAGAGTTCAGAGTTCAGTTAAGGCTCTAATATAGTGGTAGTCCGTGGTATTTACATAGAACATATTGATATTACCAGACAGAAGTGTTGGGTAGTAACGTAACGAAAGTAACGCGTTACTGTAACGACGTTACTTTGCTTGTTACGCGTTACTTAATTTCATTAGAATTATTTCCATGTAACGAAAATGTAATGGAAATTACTTTTGATAAGTAATTTCTATAGAATAACGCGTTACAAATTCAAATTATGAAGTACCTACTACCTACCTACCTATTGCGAATTGAAAAAAAAAAATCGTCTATAATGAGGGTATTATTATGTTTACGAATCTAATATGTATTTATATTTAATTTTAACTCGCCATAATTCAGTTTTCAATGATTTTAAATCACTAGAACAGTTCATTAAATTTATTATTTAATTGAATTCCTCTAAATAGGTGGGTACCCACAGACGTTTCCTATGAATATCAAGCGTGGACTAAACTATACAGGTTTTATAAAGAATTTAGTGTTGTACAAAACCTGTTGAATTTAAAAATACTTATTGGTTATTACTTATTACTATATTATTTAGAATTTACATTAGAATATATTAATATAACATTATTTTTCTGAAAATTAAATAAAATCAAAATTATACTGTTATAAATCGTTATAGCCATATTTTGGCAATTATAAAAACAGTTTATTTTTATAAGTTCTTATTTGATTCTATACCTATGTATTATCATTTTATTTTCACATATGTAAGGTTTATGCTGTAAGTTTGTGACATAAATGATAAATACATAATAATATACTTAACTATACCTAAAATGATTAATTACCATTGATACGTTGGTACAATTAATTAGTACCATAGATTAAAGTATTAAACATACATAGATAGCCAACAACTGCTTGGAATTTGGAAATCATGTTCTTGGTGACAATACATGGCTCTGTTTAATCTTTAATCTATGTTAGTACTGTAACTACTATTTTTTAATAGTCATAACTCATAAGTATTTACTGTTGTTATTTAAATATGTATTTAACTGTAGATCTTTTTTATTGTCCATCTTTTACAAATTATACCTTTTTACCATAGGTAATGTGTTTCTATAAAATGTAACATTATTGCCTGCAGAATGATAATTGCCAAGAAATTTGAAGAAAAAAAATATTTTTTTTTTTTTTTTGCAACGAGAAAGTAATGAGTTACTTTTCTATTTGAAAAGTAAAGTAATTTCATTACAATTTTATTTGAGTAACGAGTAAAGTAACTTAATTACATTTATCTCTAAGTAACGAGTAAAATAACTTAATTACTTTTGAAAAGTAACTTACCCAACACTGGGCAGTGGGCCACCAGACAGTAAATAAAAACCACGGACTATAATATAGTATATTATACAGGACTGGAAACGGAGTATTATCAGTGGAACCCAAATGTTTTCATATGGTACATCACGGACACCCAGCGCCATCTATTTAGTGGATTTACCATTGAACTAAAATAATATGAATACCAAAACAATTTTTATTATAATTATTATAACATAATATTATTCTTTATTACTTTTCAACATAGGTAGGCATTTTTTTTTTTTTATATTTTTATTAGTAATATACAATCTATGCACAAAGGCATAAAAAGAATATGTGCTGAAATAAGTTTTAACATGAAATAGGGTGAGGGAAGAAACCATCCAGTGATCGCACTTCACTTTGCTTAAAATACATTTATGTATTTTTTTTTTTTTGTTTTTTTAATTTTTTTTTTCCTTTCGTTACTCATTAAGAAGATCTCTACACCAGTTTCTTTTTAGACGCCGTGGTGGATTACCAGGAATCGTGTGAGTGGCTACTACTGGCTAGACCAGAAATTAAAGGGTTTGAGTGAGACGGCAGCTTGTTGAAAAAGCGTTTATAGAAAGTTTTGGCTTCTTCATGAATGGTTTTGATTTTTAAGTCAGAATGGAGAGTGAAATTAGAAATGCAAAATGGAGCATTGGTGATGAGGCGCAGAATTTTATTTTGAACGGTTTGTATTTTGTTAAGGTTTGATTTTTTTGCATTGCCCCAAAGTTGTAGGCCATATCGCCGTCCCGGTAGAACAATGACGCAACTGCAATAATTGCAATTTTACAGGAAACCTAAAAAACTAAATTATTTTCACTAAAATGTTAATTATTTATGAGTGTACAAACTACAAACTGATAATTCCACAACGACGCAATTGCCCTCTGGCGGTCTAAAATACAACTACAGTTCCGTCACTCGTTTTTCTACATTATGCTTACGCTATATTTAAAGCGTATATTTAGTAGTGTTTTCAGTAACCGGAGACGCGCATTTAAAGCGAGTTTTTTTTCCCTTATGTGTTGCGCCCAAGTAAGACGCCGGTCAATGGTACTTAGCCCTAGGTACTTAACCGATTGAGATGTAGGGATAGGTATGTTGGCTCAGTGGCGTAGCTAGGATTTTCTGAAGGGGGGTGTTAATTATAAACATTAAATATTATATATGATACGTACAAACTAAAACTTTTATTTTAATTAATTAATTATGTATACATAATGTCTGTATGGTATTATCAATAGATAATAATGAAAAATAAATAATATATTATAAAATAAAATCCGTTCGTCGTGGACAAGACATATTAATAATTTTATTTTAAAATTATGTAAGCAATGGTTTTAAATAATATAATATATCATTATTTTTTACTATTTTTATTTTTGAAATGTTTGTAATGTCGTTGCAAAAGTTTTCAAAAAAAAATTTACACTAAATTACACATTATTACAGTTATAATATTATAATAAAAATGTTCATTATATAGCATTTAATACTATTTATACTATATTTATACCATTAATATTTATTTTACTTCTAGAAAAGATATATTAAACAACTTGGACGAGGGTTATAGACATTTGTTCTAAGATTTATAATTTGTTTCTACTGGATTAATCTTCTTTGGCCATCCCTGAACTGAATGTTTCAAATATATTATTGATAGGAATTAGGAGTATAAATTAATCTTATCTTATGAACCCCTATTTAATTATTTCTAGTTAAATTAACTACTATTTATCTTTAAAAAAATTATAGTAGTTTTGTTCACTAATATGTTATTATAAAATTACAGAAATAAACAAAAATTGTTGGAATTTGGCAATGACGTAATGTTGAAGATGAAAGAGAATAACCAATGTTTTTTTATTTCTGATGAAATTTTTTATTTTTAATAGGTAACTTATTTTTGCAATCATTTAACACAATTTATCATCAATTAAACTTGCTATTAATTACACCCATTGTCTTTTTAAGAATTGATAATTTATAAATATTTTTTAGTGATTTTATACCTTGTTATTTAAATACATTTGTATTATGATATAATGATATATCAAATTGTGATTTGTTTTCTTATAATAAAGAGTTGGAGTTCTACACTAACACATATGTATATTTTTGGGATTTGATTGTTACTTACACAGGATTTAGTCATTGCATTTGTGTACTCCATATTTTCTATTCAGTTTTGTGTAACTTGCTTCATAAGCAAAACTGATTAAATAATTTAGCATATCTTTTTGAATTTAGAATACCTACTTAAGTTACATTTGATTTCAAGACATTATAGGCTGATAGACGATCTTCTCTCAGAATTGCAGTGGCGGACTGGGAGAAAAAAACAGCCCGGGAAGATCATAATATTAGAGGCCTGAAGTATACTAACGGCCCTTTATATAATATACCACAACAAAAACCCTTCATTCGTAAACTACGTGTAAAAATGGCTAAGTAAAAAAAAATATTCGATCTTAAGCACTAGAAAGATGTGATATCATGAGTAAATGTTATGTATATTGAATTTAAGTAAACTTATTTTTTCAATAATTTATTTACTTGAAGAGGAATTATTTCTTAAAAGAAACAAAGTGTGGTGAACAAAATAATTAAATGGCGAAGGACTATTAAAATATAACTTATTATTATTTAAAAAATATTATTATTAATATTTATATACTATTCTCAATAATTCCTCGCCAAGTACCTAAATAAATTATTGATACAAAATAAGTTTACTTAAATTCAATATACTTAGTATTTATTCATGATATCACATCTTTATATTGCTTAAAGATCTCATATTTTTTTACCGTGACGGTGGATATAAATAATAATAGTCTTTAGAAAAATTAACTCTCTATTTTGTATTAAGTAAATCTCATATTGTACTTAATTGTACTTAATTGTTATTATTTGTATTTAAATTGAATGTCTAATTTAAGAACCTCTCACCCAAGCTTTTGCTTATAGGAGGTGAGCAGATTTACTACTGTATTTATAATTTACAATATGTTGGGAGTTGTTTGCAAATAAAATAAATT